CTAACCGAAACTCACTCTTTACGTCTTGTGCTACTCTATTTTATTGTTAAATGGAGAGAGGAAAAGTTTTTGTATATTACAATCCTCATTAAACAAATTAAACTAACTAACCCTCCGCTCGAAAAAGTATCAAGTATTTTTCCTTAAGAGATGGAACCTTTAATCTTACGTCATTCGAACCGCCTTGAAGCGGGAAACAAAGCTATATTCTTTTATATTTCAGTTTTGTCGTTTCTGTTCAGATATTTCACTTTCGTTCAAAAAAGTAGAAATTCTTGTCGTAAGTCTCAATTTTCTCCAACAGAACTCAACTTTTATGCAATAAAAATATCATATTTGGAATCAGAATCAAAAAACGAATCGACAGATGTGTATCTCTAGCGTAGCAGAATAGTTTATTTTTTTTCGAATTTTCATGTTGAAAACTCATCGAGATTTCACCAAAAAATGAAAAACAAGTATACATTTTAAAACACACAGTTTTTCGGGTTTTCTTTTCCGATAGAGAGCGGTACAGCTATTGACGAAACAAATATGTGTCAGCTGCCTTAACTCTGCCGTGTTTTTGACGCTAAGGAAGATGTGCTGAACTTCGAAAATAGTTTTTCACGTACAGTTTGATATGCTAAATCCGAAAAGAACTGTTTCAAAGCTCCGAAATATAATGAGAAGAAACAGAGTCACTTTACTGAGCGATGGCGTTTTTTCGTTTTTTCGGCTTTTCACTGCGAAAAAAGGGTGCGGGAAAATTTTAAAGATAATATTCGGATACAATTCGCTTTCTTCTATCCGAATAAGTGTGTTAAATTCAAAAATAAAATAGTGTTTAAACTTTGAATTATCGGAACCTTGTAACTAATTACTCATTCGTTAACTTTTGTTATTTTCGTTGTTTCACCTTGTGTTTCATACAAAGTAATGTAATGAGTAATTGCAAAGCATTTGTACCATTTGAAAGCAGTTCATACCTGTGCTTGTATTACTTGACACACATGCGTAAGTTAAATCATGCGTATCTGATGTGAATGACTACTCGATACACATCTATATAAAGACATTAAAATATATTTTGAAAGGTTAGTAACCTTGCTGACTTTTTACACATTTTTCATCACAAAAAATGTTGAAAAAATTTCTTGGAAAAAAAAAATCATCAACTGTTCAAATTCCAGAACGGCTTAGTTTACCAGATATCAATGAAAGACGATCAGAAAGAAATGAAGAAGATATAACATTATTATTGTTTTACGATGGTGAACTAACTGAAAATTCTGATTTAATTACATTAAAAGGTTTATTAAGGTCTGTTAATGATTATGTTCAGTTTTATAACGATGAAGATGAATGTCTAGAATATAGTCGGTCAATTGAAGAAGAAAAAATATTCATTATTATTGATGGTCCATCAGCAGAAAAGATTTTACCAAGAATTCACACTCTCGAACAAATTGTTTCAATATTTTTATATCGTACCAACTCTAATTATGAATCGTTAATCAATGATTATCCAAAAATTGTTGCCCTTTGTACAGATCAACAAGAGTTAATAAAAGAAATACGTACAGCAATAGAACAGGTGATAAAACAAACAGCTGCATTTAGTTTATATGATCAAACCGAAAAGTCTACGAGAGATTTAACAAAAGAATCGGGTTCATTTTTATTTTTTCAATTATTTAAACAAATTTTATTGGCAATGCCAAAAACTGATAAAGACAGACGTGAAATGATATCAAAATGTCGTGATTATTATCGTGGTAATCGAAAAGAAGTAAACAATATTAACGAGTTTGAAGAAACATATAAATTCAGTGAAGCTATCCAATGGTACACAAAAGATGCGTTTGTTTACCGCCTTGTTAATAAATCATTACGTACCGAAGATATTGAAGCATTATACTCTTTAAGATATTATATTAGTGATTTGTGTTTACAGCTTGCAATGAAACACAAAGAATTTATAAAATCATTATCGTCAATGAATTTAACTTTGTATCGTGGTTTTAAAGCATCGAAAAATGATATGCAAATATATAAGAATAATGTTGGCAATCTGATATCAACAAATGGATTTCTGTCAACAAGTGTTCTAAGAGAAGTGGCATATGATTTTGCTAGAAAACCATCGAAAAGAAAAGATATTGAGGCACTCCTAATTGAGATTCACGTCGATTTAAACTTGGTTAAAACAATTGTTTTAGCTGATATTTCCAAATATAGCATATTTGCGAATGAAAAAGAAATTTTGTTTGACTTAGGTAAGAATATGTAGTTATATTCCATTTGAATTAATACCAACTGTCAAAGATCAGATTACATAACGTCTTTAGGAGAGACTCATGTTTTATATTTTGAAAGGAACAGTTTAAAGGGCGTCCGCAGATTGCATTTTGGTAAAATTCCTATACCATTTCACTGCATCACTATTTTGGCTAGAAAAAGTTGATTGTGAACTGTGAATCTGTTGAGCTAGTAAGTCGTGACATTCTAAAATTCTGAGCTTATTGCATTATATCTGTCACAGTAAATCTCAGTTTGTTTGTATGTCATGTTAAGACGTATTTAAACAATAACGTCTAATTGTAGGATATAATAAGGGAGAAAAATCCGTTTCACTCAACGAGGAAGAAAAGTACAGAAAAATCCGAAAAATTTCCTACTTTTTGTGCTTATTTCAAAAAACCTTACTTCACTGGGGCAAAATATTAAAATTTTTTTGACTATCACATAAAGAACAACAAAATACAATGGCGGCAAATATTTTCCGTATACCCTATCCTCTTTTTCTTTTGGTCGTAACTCGGTAATGAAAACAGCTTTTGACAAGTGGCTTGCACCAAAATATTCTCCGCTCTCTCTAGTATATTTGTAGATAAAAAAAGTTAGAAATATTCATTGTTGTTCTGTGCAGGCTCATTCGACCGAAAAGTGAACGTTTTTGATCGACAAAAATTTTCCGTACAGTTGATAAACACCTTTTTTTACGCTGTATAAGCACCGACAAAGTATAAAAACTATATAAATCAATAGAGGAGAGCACGCGAAAAGTGAGTAAGATAAATATAGTGTGGAAGTTAACTGAGAGAATTTGATCCATCTTTTAATATTTTGGAGCTTGGGGCTATTTTTGACATATCTTTTCTGCATTGGAGGGTAAAACTTCTTTTGGATATCTTTGCGTCATCATATAGTCAAATAGTTATTGTATATGCCTATGAAAAGAGAAATTTAGACTTTTAAGTTCAGAGGGAATTTTTCTTTTTTTTTCAGAGGGGAAAATTTTTGCGAAAACAAACGTTTTGCTAAACTTCGAGTGACACATCACAAAACGCAGTTTTTGACGATGAGCACGAATATTACGTTAATTTTTGATAGAAAATGTTTTTTATGCGTGGAAAGCTGGAAACGGGTCCGAAATCCGTTTTTCCTACTGAACTTAAAAGTCTAAAGGATGAGGGCGATTATTTGATGGAATCGGCCTCTGGTTCAATTCCATCGACACATACATGGTCAGATGCAGAATGGACAGGAGAACATTTCTAGCCACTCGGCAGATCCTAGAAATACTCTTAGAAGAAATTGAATCCAATTAACTATAATCACTTCTGACACGTATTATTGATCATATTGTCGAGTGTGTCTCTCTCGGCCTCATACCTCAATAGAACTATTATATGTCATTCGAAAGCTCGTTTTCTGCGCTATATTTCTGTAGATCACATACACGGAAATAGTCGTTCTGAGGCCAAGTATGTTTAGAAATACTTCCGTCTATCGAAAATAATCTCCTATGTGCAAAACGTCTAAGATAATCTATAACACCCCTTATCATCTACCCACTACGATAGATATACCATTCGATAGAGAATTTCTTGCGCTACAAGCTCATGTATACAACATAGTGACAAAAGTGTCCTCGGGCACCTTGACATTAGAAATACTTTCTGTAAGCCCGTGAGAAGTGGGTTGCGTATTCCACGATGAGGATCCTATGATCAACGTTTCTCAACTAGCCACTATGATAGATATACCATTTAATAGAGAATTTCACGAGCTTCAAAATGAGCTATAAATAACTCTTTCAGGAACATGCCCACATGGGTCAACAGTTGAAATACTTGGCCGATATAATGATTTTGACGTATCTTAGTGCTTTCAACACTCCGCTAGTCGTTTTTCTACCATAATGAAAATTATGTATTTTTCGAAAACATACCACTGGATAGCCCTTGAGATTCTGTACAAAGTGAGCTTCAGATCAAAATAAAACTTCTCCCGGCATTCTATGGTGCTTTTTCAGCGGAATAGTTTGGTACCGTTCACGCCCCTTTTAGCTAGTGTTAAATCAACTGCAGTTGCGTGAAAAAGCACTATAGAACGCCGGGAGAAGTCTCATTTCCCTCAGAATGTTTGGCTCTACCAGGCTATACGGTTTTCAAAATTTTCTCATTTAAAACCAAGCACTTGGCTTTTCAGCGAGCAGGTTTTCCAGAAGTAAGAAATTAACAGAAAATAATGAAATTCTTACGCCCTCAATTTTCTAACTGAAAATTATTTAAATTATAGATGGAAAATAGAGCTTTTCTAGGGATACACGGTGACTACTTTAGCTTTTCTCTCTCACAAACTTTTAGCAGATGATACTAAAAGAACTGTAACTACATTTATTTTTTCTATATTTTTGTGCTTCTCACATTTTCCTATGGCATTTTGCAATAAAA